TTTGGGTGTGGGGGGAGCAGAGGGAAAGCGTTCTCTTCTCACGGAGGAAATTGGCCTCAGTGGCTCGCCGTACGCGAAGCCTTAAGCAGCGTGAGAGTTGGAAGAGCGAGGGGTTCGCCTTTCCATCCCTGCTGCGGGGCTTGCAGCTTTGTGGGTTGGTACTAACTTTCATGCTCGCGGGATTCGAAATGCCACAATCAAGCGCGCCCCCCCAGATGTTGCGCCCGGTGCGGCCGGCCCCCCCTGCACCCCCCACGCTATGCCACTGTCTGGAGTAACTGCTTCTAAATTTCATTAAATAAATAAAGTGATGCTTGAAAGAACAATTGACTCCCCCCGGAGGATAAAAGGGGGCTCATCAGAGACTGGGCTCACCATGGTTTTATTTCTCAAACTGCGCTTTTCCTTGCTCACCAAAGGGAGACACGTGAAGGGGAAAATAAAGCACAAGTACCTGTTTGACTCCCATCAGTTCTGCATAGTCAAAGATGAGGATGATGCTAAAGATGATTAGCCAGGAGATGAAATGGAGGATAAAGCAGGTGAGTGGAACCCAAGTGGTCCATGGCTCAGTGCTCGTATTCCAGAGCATGGGGCCCTCCAGCACTGGCTGCCAATACCTCATCAGCAACTACGTTAAAAGGGGAAAAAATAAATTACTAGCAGACACTGCGACGATATTTAATGTGGCTGCATGTGAGGTCACGCAGGGTATGAATCAGAGTAACAGAATAACAGAGTTGGGAGGGACCTTGGAGGTCTTCTAGTCCAACCCCCTGCTCAGACAGCAGACAAAGCCCATCTCTCCTTAAAAACCTCCAGTGTTGGAGCACTCACAACTTCTTAAAGCAAGTTGTCTTTTACAAAAGAATGCAAATATAAATGCAAGTTAAAATTCTAGTCTTCATTATTATCTATTTTTTATTTTTTTTTAAATGCCCATTTCTCCTAGCTGAGGAAGAAACTCAACTGCGTTTTGCAACATCACGAACAATGAAAGAGCTCAAGCTCTTACAGGTAGTCCTTGAGTTATGACCACAATTGAGACTGGGATTTTGGTGTCAAGTCATTGCAGTTGTTAAGTCGATTCACCATGTGACTGGACTCGATTTTTTGACTGTGTTCAAGTGAGTCACCATGGCTGTTAAGCAAATTATGTCATCGTGAGTCTGAATCCATTTTAGCCATTTGTCAGAAAATGACCAGAAAAAAACAATCACAAAAAACAATCAAGTGATGCTTTTATAAATGCAAGCTGGTTGCCAAGCACCTAAAATGTGATCACATGGCTGTGAGGGTGGTGCAGCAATTATAGCTTCAAGGAAAAGGCACAACCTTTTTTAAGTCCACTGTAACTTCAATTTGTCATTAAACAACCATTTGTAAGTCGAGCAGTACCTGTACAACTTTGTCACTTTATACTCTAAATCGGTATTCCTACCTGAAGAGTTACGTCTGTGCAAAAAACATAGACTGTTCTCTGCAAGACCCCAAAGCAGTTGGAAGTCCAGTGTTTGACCCGGTCAGAAGCCATAAGGCTGTGCTGCAGGATAAAAAGGATGATCAGGCCCACATCCGCTGTTAGCGAGTGCAGAATCTTGGGATCCCTTAGGGCAGTTTTCCACTGAGAATTCGAGGTGCCATCTGCAAGAGAAAAACTGAGTAATCTTGCACCCAGTATACAGCAGGATATTATTACCGTGATGATTTACATCAGGAGTGTCAAACTGCCGGCCCGCGAGCCGGATGCGTCATGGCGAAACCGCGCCTACCCCATTGCCGGCAATGGAAAAAAAGTCGCGATACGTCACAACACGTCACGTGATGTGGCGAGTTTGACACCCCTGGTTCACATCAACCTTTCTCAACCTTTTTACCCGAGAGCAGTGTTTGTAAATCTCAGCAACTTTAAGATGAATGGACTTCAACCCCCATAATTCCACAGCCAGCTGGGAAGTTGAAGTTCATCCTACTTAAAGTTGCTGAGATTGACAAGCAATGCCCTAGAGCAGGGGTAGGCAACCTTGGCTCTTTTATGACTCGTGGACTTCAACTCCCAGAATTCCTGAGCCAGCCATGCTGAGGGGAAAGGGAGAGGTTTCCAAGCTGAGCCATGCGGGCTCAGGAATTCTGGGAGTTGAAGTTCACAAGTCATAAAAGAGCCAAGGTTGCCTACCCCTGCCCTAGAGCAAGGGTCTCCAACCCCTGGTTCACAGGCTAGTGCAGGGTGGCAGCCCGTTCAGACCAGGGCTGTGGAAGTGGCGGATGAGTGCGCACGTACGAAGCTGCATTTGTAAAAATGGTGCACGTGCAAAACCATCCCCCTCCACCCCACCTTTACCACTGCCTTTGCTAGTCCACTGAGCCAGAAAGATTGGAGACTACTGCCCTAGAGCAGGGGTAGGCAACCTTGGCTCTTTTATGACTCGTGGACTTCAACTCCCAGAATTCCTGAGCCAGCCATGCTGAGGGGAAAGGGAGAGGTTTCCAAGCTGAGCCATGCGGGCTCAGGAATTCTGGGAGTTGAAGTCCACAAGTCATAAAAGAGCCAAGGTTGCCTACCCCTGCCCTAGAGGAACCCTTGAAATAATTTTGAGGTCTCAGGGAACCCCTGCATTAAAAATATTACATCTACAGCTAGGAAAGAGGGTTGCTTTGGGACTACAAAATAAAATCCTGAAGTCTCAGGCAATCCATAGTCTGTCCAACCCAGTCTGAAGAAGTGCTGGGAATGCAAGAAGAAGGACACTGGCATTTAGAAATCTGATTCCCCCCCCCTTATATTTTCCAAGTTTCACTTCAAAATCTGGCGGGCACAGCTCATGATCCTGAATATTCATTCCTTGCATAAAAGGACCGTAATGTTTGCAATCCAAAGGCAGTAAAAGAAGGGAAATTTTTCACTTTGATGAACATATAAATTAGGTACAAGCCTTAGGGATAGGAATAGCTTTCTGGGATTGAGTGTGGGCTCCTCAAAATCAGCCTTTATCCTTGATCAAATGCCCAGATCTTTAAGAGATATACAGAAGCAGAATTCTGCGAAAGACGGCCTCTATATTACTGCAAAGTTTTGACCTAACAGCTATTCAGGGGGGAAGCAAGAACCAAACGTTCCTAGCAAAGGACAGCTGAATGACAGTCCGACTGCTTCCAATAATTTATATGGCTGTGGTTTGGCAATGATTTCTTCAATACACTCCTCTGATTGGATTCACACAAAGAGCCTAAGTCACGATGTGGATTTTCTGTTTGGGTTTATTATACCGTCAGAATTCAGCCATCGATAAGTTCGCTCAGGCAATCCATTACTGTAAATCAGTGTTTCTCAACCTTGACAATTTTAAGGCATGTGGACTTCAACTCCCAGAATTCCACAGCCAGCATTGCTGGCTGTGGAATTCTGGGAGTTGAAGTCCACATGCCTTAAAATTG